AAAAAAAAAAAAAAAGGAAGTAAGTCTTATTATAAAGAAGAAAATAAAAATAAATAATAATTAAGCAAACTGCATACCCTCTCTCTCTCTAGGTACATAGGAATCTCAATATATCTGATAAAGTTTCCTATATGCACTCATCAAAAAAAGTAGGTTGAAAAAATTTAAACAAACATCCCTACGCTCTCAAATGTGACTTGACTCTCCTATTTACTCAGCATTAAAACACTTCATGAAACAAAATTTGTTCTTTGACCAGTCTGAAATTTCTAATCTGCCTAAAAAATTGTAAGTAATTCTGACATTTACCCTTTAAAATTAAATAATGCCTTTTTGACAGAGAAGCATTTAAAAATGGGATTTCATTCCCCAATGTAACAGTATCCAGGATTTTTAAAAACATTTTAAATAGGAGATGCTCTTCCTACCTTCCTCCACAAAAGCCACACTTTACCAAACGTTTTCAGCTGACTTTGGTTTATGCCACATTTTTCATATTTTCTTAGCTTAATCACAAATTTGTGTAAATTGAATCCAAGTATCAAACTAGAGATCATTTACAATACTTCATTTTATCCAACAGTAATTTCAGAAAAACTCTGAATTTTATATTTTCTAGTTTGAGAAATGCTGATAATTTCTGCATTAAAATAGTTTCATAAAAAAGAAAGCATGCTATTTCAGAGAGCCAAATATTTTATCACACAACACAATATAAGCACATGTCCTACTATTGGATTTTCATCTTATTATACAAAAGACTCAAACATTTATAGCCCCTGACACATTCTCTCCCTAAAAGAATCTCTTTCACCCAGTGTGCCTACTCCTTACGAAGCTCCAGACAACTCAAGTTCCTCAGAGCTATGAAAAGCAAGAAGAGGTTCAGGAAGAAAGGGTAAGGGATAATAGTGGCCCTGTACCACAGCTCTACAAATTTAAAAGGCATATATTTAAATTATTTGACCCCACAGTTCCATTACTAAAAATATTTACAAAAATATGTAAGATATATTTTTATGTACAAAGATATTCATTGAAGCAGTTTTTATTCATAAGAACAAATACTCATGCTCCAGTCATGCTGGTCTTCTTTCTGTTCTTCGAACACACCAAGCTTATTCTTACCTCAGAGCTTTTATCTTGCTATTATACTCTATGCCTAGAATTCTCTCTTCTAGATCTCTAAGCCATTTTTCTCATTATGCAGGCCTTGCTCAAAAGTCATCTCTTACAAAGGTTTTGCCTGGCCATCCCATCTAAAGTAGAAACTCTTTTCTCATCACATTACCTGCACTACTGCCTTCATGAAACTGATTTGTTTAGATTTTATTTCATTGTTTTTTGATATATCTCAGCAACTTACATGGAAACAGGGCCCTTGATTTTCTCCTCCATCTCTGCATCCTTAGAAGAGTATTTGGCATAAAATATGGACTCAGTAAATATTTGATGAACACACAGGTGGATGGACAGGTGGAGGGACATGACTAGCAGGAAACTAGAACTAACATAAATGTCCATCAATAGAAAATTGGTATAAATAAAATGTGGCTCAACCATATGGAAAACCTATATGGTTTATACCACAAATGCAAGAGATCTATATATACTATGTGTATACTATGAGCCAGACATTATTATAGGAGTTAGATATAAAATGGTGAATAAGACAAATAGATTTCCTATACAAATGTATCTTTGGTCAAACAATACAGGCACCAAGTATGGATAAATTAAAAACAGAAAAATTAAACTCACATATATATACATGCTTGAATAGGCACATTATTTTTTTACAGAAGTATACATAAGAAACTATTACCAGTGGTTAGTCTGAAGAAAGGGCCTACGAGTTGGGGTGGGGAGATAGAGAAAATCAGGGAAAGAAACATTTATATTTCATTTTATATTTATATGTACAATTTGATTTTTTAATTGGGTGCATGTATTACTTCTAATTTAATAATTAAATATTTATAATTAATATGGAATTTAATAGGAAACCTTGAAGGACATTACATTACCACTGAGAGGCCCAAAATGAATAGAAAGAA